TGTCTCGCCGATGCCGCCTTATCTTTGCACGATAGCCAGCTGTTTGTGACGGTATGTTGTCTACACAAGGTGTATGCGCCTTGATCCTGAATGTTTGCTTAGGGCATTAAGGTTTTCCGGTAAGTCCCCCTTCTCTACCACTTATTATTCTTTATTTCATAGGTCATCATGGTTGTATGGCAGCGAAGCATCAGTTCAAATGGTTGATGTACCGCTGTTTTTTTGTTTTACGGGGGACTTGTGCACACCTACCGAAGCGAAGATGGCTTGTGCGAGCCACTATGGTGCTCGATCCGCCTGAGACAGGGTGAATTGTTTGTGGGTGCAGCTTATCGCAGCCCCCGAAGTCTATCTCTGGATTGGTTTCCGCATGTAAAAACTACATGAGTTGGCCTCGCTTCCTGCATATGGGCGACTTTAACATCCCTCGATTAATGTGATCTGAAGCCCAATTTCTCCCCGGGCACTGTGAAATCGAGGCGCAATTTGGGGAGATGATATTTGAGACTGGAGCAACACAACATGTCTGCCAACTGACGCGCGGTGCGCCGCATTCCGCTCCATTGTGCTTGGACCTACTATTAACTAGTTTTGAGCAACGTGAATGAAATTCTGGTCCTGGAACCTCTGGCAGCTAGTGACCACTCGATGGTGTTAGCCAGTATAGAGCTGCCGTTGCCCTACTAGCCTCCGCCGGAGTCGTCCTACAATTACTGGAAGACTGAATTCGATGGTCTCGATCGAGCTGCCAGTGAAGTGGACTGGGCGCTGAGGCAGGATTCATGTGCCAAAGCGTGTTGGTCTGTTATAATAGGTGTGATATCGTTAGTCGTACATATCATATCGCAAAAACATAGGAAAACTGGACCAGTGAAACCACATTGGTTCGATAGAGAGTATGACTAATTGGCTCATCGGCGACACGTAATGTGGAATATATTCCTCGTGTCTGGCTCTGCCGAGGATTATGAGGCGTACAAAAGGAAGCGGACGCTATGCAACAACGCGAAAACGTCGGCAGTTCGAAGAGCAGCTTGCAACTTCAGCGAAGACGGCTCCCAAGCGAATTTTTGCTTAAGTGAAGCGGCGCCTGAGGTCCGCAAGTGAGGTAGCTGTGTTAGAGGGTACTGACGGACAGCCTCTGACCTCCAGCACTTAACGCGTGTCCACATTAGCGGTGCACTTCGCTTCCGTATTTACAAGTAGGCATACGCCTATGCCGAGCTCGACTTGTGGAGCCCCTACTGAGCTGGATAGCCTAGATTGCGGTGTAGATGTCCGCGGTCTACTCGCCAGTCTTGACGGCAAGAAACCTGCCGGACCCGATAGACTTCATCCGCTTACCTTAAAGTGCATATCGGCCGTCATCTCGCCTGCCGTGGCGGATCTGTTTAACAAATCGCTGTTCGAGGGTGCATTGCCGAACGACTGGAAATGATCAGTAGTGAAGCCGTTTCCAAAAGGCGGTGACCCACGTAATGTGGATAGTTACCGGCCGATTTGTCTCACCTCTGTCTTGCCGGTGCTCGAGAAGATTTTTAAAATGGGTCTTCTTCAGGTGCTGGAATCGAAAGATATCCTAACGCCTGCACAGCACGGCTTCATGAAAGTCGTTCGTACATCATCAACCTGCTGTTGACGCGGCGGGAATGGTTGCAATCGTTGAACCGGGGGAAGTTAATGGATGTTATCTACATTGATCTCAGTAAAGCTTTCGATAAAGTAAACCATGAAGGCCTGCTCCACTAGCTGAGGATGTGTGGTGTTGATGGCGCACTGCAGCGGTGGATAGGTGACTTCCTTATTGAGAGAAGATGGTGGGTACAGGTGGATGACCACCTAACAGAACGGTACCACAAGGCACATTGCTGGGGCTCATTTTATTCATGATCCACCTAAACGAAGTGCCACAGCTTCTTCGGTCGCCGTGTGCACTGTTTGCAGATGACTTGAAGATTTGGGGGGGTTATTGATTTTCCGACGTCTGTGACGTCCTTCAGTAGGACCTCGACCGCCTATCCCGGTGGTTTGCAGAAGTTAACCCGGACAACCCGGACAAGTCCTCGTTTATGAGTCTGGGGAGGGGCGTGCGTACACCCTGGCCGGCCACCCGCTGCATTCCGCCAGTTCCCTAAAAGATCTAGGCGTACTCTCACGCTGTGAGCTGAAGAGTGGATTCCCACTCTCTGAGTGCGCAGGGATTTTGCTGCCTCCAGTACAACCACAGCGGTCCTCTGCGGAACCTTATTACGCAATGATCCCAGCAACCCCCGCAACGATCAGGAAGTGACGGAGCTGACAAAGGAACTTCCTTCTGCTCTCTACCAAGCAATGAACCCAAAACACGAACAGATTGTACGTAAAAGGACTACGCCTGCTTTGGGCACTTAGACGCATGTTTTGCACTTGGTCTGAAGAGATTGCCGCCCGTCTGTTCTCTTTCATGATAAGACCGGTGCTTAAGTACGGCTCACCCGGCTATTGTCCGATCACAATAGGTAAGGTGCAGAAACTGGAACTGGTTCAGCATGTAGGACCCGGCTCATCCTAAGTTGACGGGGTATGTCGTAGGAGCACTGATGTAGGAGACTATGGCTTGGTACCCTGTCATATCGTCGGCTTCGAGTTAATCTCATTATGACGAACCTCGTTTTGCACCTGGGCCACTTCCCTATGTTGAGCCGCTGCTGCACGTTCGCCCACCAAACAGTACACACGGACAGCGGTAAAAACTAATGGTTCAATAGTGTATGATGGGATAAAAAGCATTGGCTTTACAAGACCCATAGGATGGTAAATGCAAAATAGATAAAATTCATTAGATTAAGACATGGAACTGAAATGCCAATAGTCTAAACCCAGTACATCACACCACAATGTGTTGTTTGTCACTCAGATGAATGTCTAACAATTGTTTGAAGGCTGTAATGTTTGGAGCGTTTACCACATGCGTTGGCAAGTCATTCCATTGTGAACAGATTCTAAGAGAGTAAAAATATTTTCTACAGTCTAATCGGGAGTGTTGGATTATCAGCTTGAGGTTATGACCTCTCGATCGCTTATATGAGGCTAGGGTGAGCAGCGATTTGCACGGGTGATCGCTTTCCGTTAATATCCGGCATGCGAGAATGAGATCTCCGCGTAGTCGTCGGTATTCGGAGGAAAACATTCCGATTAAATTGAGACGCACTTCATAATTGAGACCAGATAATCCGCTTGTTGCCTTGGTAGCTCTTCGTTGGGGCTGCTCTAAGAGATGAACGTCCCGTTTTAACCATGGGCACCAAGCCTGGCCGGCATATTCGACGTGGGGACGGATATAGGAGTTGACAAGCATGGGTACCAATCGTGGTTCAAAAACACCTAAAGCTCGCCTCAAAAGTCTCAGGTTCATGTTCGCCACGTTCGCTGCTTTGGAACATTGGAGCGAGTTCCCCAGACTTTCTTGCACAATTTTTATCATACCGCTTTCTATTCTCAATATTCACAAAATGATCCCAGAGTCGCGTGATTCATGTGAAAAACGGCAGCGAGGTTGTTAAGACATCCCCAACCGTATTCTGAAGTAGTCGACGTGGGAGTAGAGGGAACTCGATTTGGAAACTGACTAGTTAAAGCAATTGCAAAACCATTCCCAACAGCAGTGCTGCTGAAATTTAGCAGCTTAATTATCTTCATTTTTTAACATCTGAGGCTGGTGCTTTGACTGAACTTCAGCAGACAGCAGAACCCATGACTTAAATCGATCATACTACCGTTCCCCCTTAGGAAATTTGCACGCGAATTTCGTTGGTTTCTAACAAATGCTTCCAGTACTATCAGCCTTTACTGGCATGGAAGATAGCGTGCAGTTCTTTGACATTATTTTTCGTGGTAGGTTGTGAGGGCATTAGAGAAACAATGATGCACTTATACCATCATTGTCAGGGTTGGATGGCACAAGGAGCATTCGAGCGCAACTGAACTTTCGGCGCCAGCCGGCGGAGTGATAAATTGACACGAATGTTTTTCTTAAGCCAGTGACCTTTTGATTAGCTTGTCTTGGTGCTGATTCTGATTGTCTCGAACAGTCTGTATGCGCCTACCTGGACACATTTCTCGATTTATCTGTGCACGCTCTCTTTTATTAATGCGTAGGTGGCGAATTACACGGGCGCAGTTGTACAGCAATAGCCTATGGAATCCCTAAACAAGTAGAGGGGTTTAAATAGCTTGGTTGCTTGTGTGCTAATCAAGTTCTTGAACATTAAGCGCGAAGCGTTATTTCACGTGTTATGAACTAACAGCAGATACTCGGCATACCAGGTTCTGTTAGCCTAATGCATTTTAACCATTAACCTTTAAATAGAGTGTAGCTCATCGCCATGGGACTTCCGAATTGGTACGTGTCAGCTTGGATGATTGCTTGCCACGCCTGTTCGTCACGCGATCCTTTCCTACCCCGTTTTCAGAGTATTTCTGTTTGAGCACCGATGCTTCTCATCCCCATGTTTCATGACAGACAGACATTTAGGAGAGGTTAGTAGCTTACGGATCTGCCCAATAGGAAATACAGCATATACTATTGAACCGTTGGGAATGTGGCAAATGGAAAGACACTCTTTCCTCTGGAGGGTAACTGCGTGTTCTTCATAGCTTCCTGAAAATCACACGTTTACCTAAGAAGAGACTCCACGTTCAAATCTGTAGCCAATCTGGCTAGCAAACATATGGACAAGCAAACCTATTTACGAGCTGATGTGCGTAGTATGTCCTCATCTGATGCAGGCAGTGTGACAAATCGTGTTAGTAAAAGCAACGAAATTTCGCTACTGTCATAACTTACTATTGCGGCGAAGAAAACTCAAACACGGTCAGACTAGGTAGATCAATCCGCCTATGAAAGGGAATTGAAACCCCCAGTGCGCCTTGCAGCTATCTGAGTGACATTTACGGAACCAACTCCGATGCAACCTGTCGCACTTTGGTCTCTGGAGATAATCATCGCTTCCATTAACCTTATGTTCCTAACTGCAGGTGCCATTTGTCCACCACAACCAGATGTTACAACGTTCCGGTGTAACCACATGAGGCTCAAGGATGTTCCAAATGCTGTACACACAGATACACTAGATTTGGATTTGTCGCACAATCTTATCGAAGTATTGCACGAGGACAGCTTTATCAGACTGCACCGGCTGCGCCGACTTGTTTTGCGTCATAACAGCATATACAAGATTACCGACCGTGCTTTCTTAAATGAAGCCCACAGTCTAGAAATACTTGACCTCCGGAACAATCGGATTGCCTCGAATAAGATCATTCTGTTTCCTACAGCTGCGTTCTTACCACTCGTTCGGTTGATACATTTGGACTTGTCAGCTAACTCAATTGGTTTGCTACCCACGGGGTTTCTGCGTCAAATGGGTGCTTATTTGAAGCGTCTGGAGATAAGTGCCAGTACAGTTGCAATGCAAATTCAACCTGGAGCATTTAGTGGATTGGCTAGACTTAGCCATTTAGACTTGGGTCATAATACATTTATCGAATTCCGGGCCGATGTGTTGGATGGTCTCCATCCGGAGCTTCTATCATACTTCAGCCTACAAGGAGTGCAGTGGAATTGCGATTGCCACATAAGGTGGTTCCAGCGTTGGCTGAACATGGTTCAGCTAAAAGCACTGTCGTCAGACTCGCATCCTGGTGGAGAGTGCATCGCCCCAACAGAATTTCAGGGTCTCGCGCTAGTTCATCTAAACCAACCGGGTTTGCAGTGTCCTCCCAGTCTCCTTGATATGGAACCTGCCGGCAGCACTGGTAACCCAGCGGAGGTAGTTCAAGTCATCGGAGTTCGTGGATCCAATCTGACCCTACAATGTACTTTTGTGAGTGAAACAAAGCCCCAACTAGAGTGGTACCGAAATGGTATTCGCATACGACCACATTGGAAAAGACTTCAACAAACAACTATGTCTAACACGAGACCGAGCACCAGCTTGAAATTCCACAAGTTGGACCCTCAGTTAGATTCTGGTTTATATCGGTGTGAGGCTGGAAATCAAGCGGGCACTGCGAAGGCGGAGTTTAACCTTAGTATTTACAGCAGCTTACCAAAAAGCCTCCAAACAATCAACCAGCGCTCTCGAGTTTCTATGCTCTCTTCTACCAAATCTTTCGTCTCTCAAGATGTCACTATTTACTTGCTAATCAGTGGAATTATTGTGGCCTCAAACGTAGCATTTATAATTGTGGGAGCTGCCACTTATCACTGGGTTAAGAATCAATGGTCCGACACATTGAGAAGCCTTACTACAGTATGCTGTAAATGTTCGAAAACGTTTTCTCTACCACCAAGCCCCTCTTTGTTACGTGAGGTCCCACAACCTGACAATAGAACCAGTTTTCCACATACAATTATGTGCGGATGTGATACCATGGGGGAGAATCATGCGTCGATAGTCGATACCGCATCCACCTTACCTTCGCATGCCGCTTTGGCACTATCTATTATCCCACATAACAAATTTCATCCATCTTCCTGGAATGATACACTAAGAGGCAACACTTTTGGGTCAATCAGCCTAGTTAAAACGATGGAATCTATTTTGACCCCAAAACATACTGACCGAAACCAAGGAACAATCTGCTATAAGCCAACATCATACTATATGCTTACTTTAAAAAATGACGGCAAATTGTCCCCAAATGAGATGGTTTACATAGCGAATGAAAACGTCTCTTGTGAAGGAGCCACAACAGCCACTACAAATTTCACCCCCAAGATTGGAGAGCGCGGCTGTCTGGTTGTATCGGAAAAGACAACGTTGTCCTCCTCATGCGAGTACTTGGAGTATAATTCTGCTCTGTCTGTGGCTTCAGAAACAGTCTCGGCGAAGGTGAAGATCACGTGCCCGATTCACGGAAACGACTCAACAGAAAGACCAGTTGGCAGGTTAAACACACAAGCTGAATGTGAGATACATCCAAGAACATATGTCGATCTATCAGTATGTCCAGTGCACGGTTTAGCAACTTGTACCTTGAGTGACGGAGAAGAATCACTGAGTAGTTCCGTCTCTTTCTGTCCGTTTACATCAGAATCGCGGTTTACGTGAATGACAAGTGCCATCGTACCAGTTCTTATAGAATACACATGAGATGCGGCGGAACGCAGCTCCTATCAGAGTAGCAGCCATTCACTGACAAAAGACGGTAAGGTGCAGATAGATGACTGCAGCATCCTTCGATTTATACATGAACTCGAGGTTATTTTGTGCATCAGTAGCTTGATAAAGGATTTCTCAATAGTATAAGAAAAGAATAATAAGTTAACATGGCCTGATCTGTCTTTTCACCTGATGTAGATATCCCGGTCTCAATTCATTCGCTAAGCACTAGTAAGCCCTGAAACCCGAATGGATTCTGATCTGTTTGTTCTAAGATCGAATGCTCCTATGTGAGGTAATGGACCATTTCGATTGAGTAAAGCTAAGAGCGAGTAATAGCCACACAAGTAAGAGACTGTGAGCAGAAATAATATGCTTCCATGCATCTTACCGATGGCGCTTTTTAGACTACTTTTAAACTGCGTAATAGAGGACAGGTCATTGACGGCAAAGGCAGTATTCAATTTTCGGCCTGTTTCATGAAGGTTATATCGTTACGTTTGGTGATGCAGCACAAATGTGACTCGCTACTTGGAAGTTAAGTCAATGCTGGACAGAATAAGTGAGAAAATATACACTTGGAAGCATTCTGTGCATAGTTTGTTTGGCAGCGCAATCAAAATAACAAACCCAGACACCAAACTGATGTCAGTGGAAGAAAACGCCGCATCCACTGTGCCGATATATGTGTGAGCACACTGCTGCAGGCACTATAAATTCACTGTGAACGTCCACATTCAACAGCTGCATTTTAAAATGCAAATCATGTTCACAGTCCGTAAAAGCCGAAAAACGCTGCTGATACGCCGGTTCAGTCAGCCACACATTAGTCCATGGAATCAGTTCTCATGCTCAAGTGGATAACGCTAATGTCGGTTTATAGACACATAACTGATGAAGTAGTGAGTTTAGTTCGCTGGTATTTCACCTCCAGACTGTGCTTCGATTGCTCCATATGAGATTCTCGATCCCATTGAGTACACGAGCATTTTGTCGCCTTCCGTATCATAGGATGCATGCGGTTGACGACGATGGTCTTGCAGAAATATACACGTAGTTTACCGCGAGCCGATTCAACTTTGTGTTCTGTGTGTGTCAGTGACAGCCTGCCTATACTAAAGACCAGAGAAATGGCGTTGAGTGTCGACCATGGAATATTCCAAGTGCACATTTTTACCTAATCCACTGGACCAAGTGTTTAAGTACGAGAGTTAACCGTCGCAATTATTTGATCTTTTACATTCCACATACGTTTTTAGCTCAATCCTACTGGTGATGGCATGTTTGATGAGGAAGATTGCTAATTAACAGGTCGAGCAATTTTGGGTTTTCGAATGCTTGCGGCTATGATTGGTGAACAAGGTAACGGTTGCGGTTCATTCAACACTATGCATCCGAACACAGTTTAAAACGCGAATATGAAGTGTTGTCACTATCGTGGGTCTTGCAATTCGGGCCGATGATGATACGCCGGTAGCTTCATCGAAAACGCAAAGAGGCGAGCGTATCATAAGGTTACAAGCAAGACTTCAGTGTAGCGGAAAGAGTTTATGTGGGTCGATTGATGTATAAATCGGAATCACTCAGTCGCTATGAACTCAGGCTTTTTCCGCCTTGATGAAAAGTCGGAGAAAGGCGAGATAGACGTTTATTTTCGCATCCTAGAATCCCGCCAGCTCATGGCACCGTAGAAGGTTCTAGCTAGAGGAAGGATCTGGTCGCCAACACAGATATCGCTAGCACTGTTCGAGGCGGGAAAGCCGGAAGCGCGCGAAGTGCCATTTGTCTGGTTGACTCAAACACACGTAGTCATCGAACAGGTAAGCTCCATAGGTTGTCTAAGTACAAAAGGAAACTGTTTTTATAATGTTTTACACATCGTATCGGGACAAACAGGGGAATCTCCAGGTGACTACAGGTGAATATGGATTGACGTCAAAGGAAGTTAAGTTACACTAGGTTTTCTCCTGCGGTTGAATAAACAAATTAGTGAGCTGACGCAAAATGTATCGTAGTCCATTGTGCAAACTTTCGTTATACTCACCTTATAAGGCAGTCAGTGGCACTAAGACTGAAGGATATGATTTCTGGATCAATTTGGACCGATCCTAGATCTTCTGACGAAAGGCAATCGTACTGTTGACCGGGTGAGGTGATTGTATCGAGTGACCAGAATCCTAGGCGACGAAATTTAGACAACGTAAATCAGTACTGCTTTCAGTGTTAAGTCGAATCAGTAGCCCATTACCAGACGGCGCTTTGTGCAACTCCCCTGTGGCACTTCACATACGATTCATACTCTGAGCGTAAGAGAAATAACGGTGTCACAGGCAGCTCATAGAATACTAGCATGTACTCAGTAGCATTCAGATTACTGGGTGCTCAGTTCCAGTTGATGGAACAAGATGCCTGTTCACTTATGTTAAAATGCACCATTTTACCCAAACATACCATTTTGTCATAGTTTTCTTATCAAATCCGGGATTTGTCTTCCACCAAGTTCTGCTAAGAAACCGCTTACTCCCACGCACTGATGATGCCAAATTAACTGCTGACGAAACATTTGCATGCAAAGTGCAAGTCTGCGCAACACCGTAGCAACTGAACACCCAACCCTAGACACCGGCGTTTGGCTTAATAGTAGTCTGGGCGCGCACATGAGGTGGGTTGTCAAGACGGTATGAGATCGTATCATTCAATGCAGTTATGCAGAATTTGCTCTGTTCGTAAAGAACCTCACTCACATGATAGGGTAAAAGGCTTTTCAAAAAAACAATCGCTGGACCCCCTACATATATTGAACACATTAAGGGTACGCTCAAACCTAAGCTTCGCATCCTCTCACTACTTTCTGTTACGTTTGCGTCATCATTGGGGTCGACTGAAATGGTGAACCATTCACACGACGAATGATGTACAAGGGGGGACCAACAGCAGAAACCCGGAGATTGGATTGGCATGAGTTGGGCCCTTCACATATTCTAAACGAAACAGTTTGAGAAGTTTCATGGAGCTTCGTTACACTGTAGTTGAGATATGTTCAGCACTTCCTCCCTGTCAGCATAGTTTCCAAACTAAGTAAAATGTGATAGGAATGTACGCTAAATGTATAAGTTGTCAAGCACCAGGAGTAAGATCACCTAACGCGAACGAGGGTCCAAAAGGTGAAGTGGAGTATCACCCGTGTGATCTAGTATTTCAAAGGTCTGGATGTGAATAGGATAACCGCTGAATGCGATTTGTTCAGCGGAACAACCGTTTTAAGGCCATCACTTTGAAAGGCATTAGTAATGGCTAGAATCATTGATTGATTCAGGTAATCAATTGCACCTGTCTAACGGCTAAATGTTTAACATTTCTGTTTAGAATAGACATCGATCAAGATGACTGTTTAAGAATATATATATATATATATATATATATATATATATATATATATATATATATATTTAAACAGTTGACAAACGGCAAAATTGGCAGCACCAAAACATGTGCATAAGCACAATACAACGAAAATGAAGCGAAAGAAAGAGGAAAACGATTAAGCTGTAATTATGAGCGTAGGGTGTCACAACATATTCGACATTGTTTACAGTTTCTTGCCATGTCCGAGAGGGATCCCAGCTGTGCGTTCGCTTTCGTTTCAGCTCCAGATAGGGATTCAAAAGCGCATGACCACGGCTAACTTTGAGGTTAGCGCATTCATACCTTAGGGGTAAGTCATTCATTAGCCACTTTGTTTTCGCTTCCAGCCGTCTTCTAGGCGCACAAATAATAGTACGGGTAGTGTAAACGCTAAGTAGGCACGCACCCAAGCCACCGAATTATGTACAATGGAATTGTGCGTCTCTGCGGTCAGTAACATCTGTCTGCCGGATGTCACACTAGCAAAGTGACTCCAGCACACCGCCACTACTCCAAATCGCCCAGTTGAATTACAGCCTATTTGCAACAATTACCTTCCAACACACTTCTTCCCACCAGCCTTCGCCGAACCCCAGGAAAAATGTTAATATCAGTGGCAACAGGGTCGCAGTTGCATCTAATAACACGCCAAAATCAGCGGCTGCTGTTTTTACTATCAAATCCAAGACTAATGTGAGGGGCAACGCTGAACTGAGACGTAGCGAATCGCCCGGTTTCCCAACCACGACCCATACTCTTATGAAAGACACTCAGAAACAATTGGATGCCTTATAAATAATATGTATCAAAGTTCCGGAGTAAACGAAGAATTTTTTGAGTGGGAAACAGGTGGATGAGCAGAGCCAATGGAACACCACAAGCAACCTGCTCGGTATTCCGACTTGATGAGGATCACTCGCCAGCCGAATCCCAAGCACTATGGTGAGGCCAGGCTTCTTCGGGGTGTGCAAAACTCTGTCGATGAGGTGGAAACAGTGTTTCCGACAGCTCGTCACCGGAACGGATCCTGTTTGGTCCGCATCTTTCCAGATGTTCTACGGCGAGAGCGCAGCAGAGCTTGGCAGAGTTCCACCTAAACACTACAGCCAGAACAGTTTTGTCCATAGCGTCCCCCAATCTCATGAGAACGATGCATGCGAAGCAGAGACCCATGACCAAAAGCAGTGGCGTTATTTTAGTGAGACCCAGCTCTTGGGTGGCGTTGTGGCCAGTTCTCTCTCAAGATTGCCAAAATCAGCGAGCTACAAAGGATGTGGCTCAGGATAATTAAGGTTGTACCACAAACCAGGTAGATGGCACTTAGACTATTGGAGCGATGACAGTTACTTCGGAACCGACTACCAACCGAGCTCCGATTTAAAGCGCCGAGCGAAACTACCGTTCGACTTAAAGCACCATCTCAGCAGGCAAATGAAGTGGGAATCCAATCCGAAACTTATACTGGTAGCAGGTTTGAAAGAAGTGATAAGCTTCCTATGCAATCCTATATCCACTCTGCATGCATGGTGCAAACTGAAGTTGCC